GTTCAAAGGCATCAATTCTTCGGTGCTCAGCCTTCTTTATGGTCCAGCTCTCACAGCCATAAATACATAAATTGTATGATCCGCTAATAATTTGACAGTTGTTTGACAGTGAACAATTGCAAGTTATGCATATATAAATGGCCAAAAATTGTCCCCCACGTCATCTTGACTGTTTTTTTAGTATTTATGTACAGGGTTGTTTATAGTCAGATTTTAATTAATTAATTTTAATTATTTATATGGTATTTTTTTTAATGGCTTGGGTTTGTGGTTTTAATTGTGAGCCACCCAGAGTCACCTGTTGGGGGAGATGGGCGGCATACACATTTAAACAAACAAACAAACAAAGCAGCATGTTGATAGTATGCATACCTTGGTAGATAGATGAGATAATGAAACTGGCTTGTACAACGAGCCAAGCCTATGGACACACTGGCACCCCCAGGCACTAGTTTGATCTCAAGAAGTAAACCAACTCACTGAATTCATCTAAAATGCCAAACAGCTTTTCATTTATTTTAGTAAAACAAACAGTTACTCATCTGTAAGTTTTACCTATGTTGACTCTGAATTCTTCCACATGCAAGGGCTATGCTGAGTTGAGATCAGTGCTATGTTCCTACAACTCTGTAGGACTTCCTAATGTTTCTGCAAACTGAGCTGATTAACATTTGGCTCAACTAGTCCAGATAAAATGCTGTGAAGAGAGTTTTGCACATTTGCTTTGGGAGCTGTGGCAGGATCTTCCACCATCCTACTCATGAAGCCAAGATGCCATGGGAACTTCAGGATTTCCTGGATGGATTTTTCTCCATTTATCCTGGCTGTTCTGAGGAGGATGCTGCCAATCTCCTGTACAGAGGATGGGGCATTTCCACCCCCCATCATGAAAAATGAATGCAGCAAGAAAGGAGTAAGAATAAAGAGCCAATTGGCTGCTGTTTTCCATGCTTTCTCACTGGCCAATTGGAAGGAATGCTGTTTGGCTCAACGGGAGGACAGAACAGAGGAGAGCTGCATTGAGAACACTCATGTAGACCTGCAAAATGCTGTAGGGGAAATAACGGTGAAGCTGGTACTGTGTGGAGTGCCCTTTACCGCCACCTCAATTCCTTAAGAATGAAACATGCTAGAAAACAAATTAAAATGCTTGTTTATGCATTGACAGTTGAATTTTATTGACATTGTATCATACAAATTACAAAATGCAATCCAGTCTTTCAATAGACAGTTACTGCATTCTAGTCACATATATTTAAACACAATTTCCATTGTTGAGAAGAAAAGCTGACTTTTTAAATTTTATTACAATCCTTACATAAATTGAGATGAATCCAAACTTAGTTGCATTTCAATCTGTGGAACATATTAATCATCACTAGAACCTACTGATCTCAATAAATCTTTTCAAATATGGTTTAACAGACCCTGCAGGGAACAGCAGCTTGGACTAATAACTTCTGGTGTCCTTTCCAACTCTATGGGTCTATGATCAAAATTGCTTGAAATCCAGTGGCTTAGATCATATACCTCTGCTAATTGTATGGCGTGTACTCATGGAACAGACTTTTATTCCCCAGCATCTCTCCCCGCCTGCAATCTGTTCCAAAGAATTCTGGATGCAGCCATTGTCAGGGACCTAAAATCAGGCAGTTTTAGGGATCCTCCAAAAGGAAAGAAATTCCCCAGTTCCAATCATGAGGTACATTACTGGAACACAGCCAAATTGAGTGCATATGGTTTTTCAATTCAGTGCTTAAAATTTTTCTATCACCAGCAGGGTAAGATAGCAGCACCAACACCCACTGAATTATCACCGGAGATAATTGCTAAAAGAGTGTCTAGGTTTAAAACTAACAGAGAATTAGCAGTACAAAGTTTAGGTTCTTTTGCTTTACAGTACTTGTTTTCCTGGTAAAAATTATATTATTTAATATATTTTTAATAATATCAATATTATTATTACATTATTACAACATTAAATGTATTACAGGTAGCCCTTGGTTAATGATGGTAATTGGGACCGGAATTTTGATTGCTAAGCAAAACAGTTGTAAAGTGCGATGTTACATGACCACATCATTTAGTGGTGGCACTCCCTGTTGCTGTTGTTAAATTGTGGTTTGTTAAGCAAGTCCCAGACAGTTTGCAAGCAGACCAGCAGGCAGGTAAGGCACATAGCACGAGCATGGTAGGGCCAGGGCTGACTGCTACTGGGTGGGGAAGGGAGCAAGCGACTTATCAGAGCATCTTGCAACTTCCCTGCCGGCTTCCCTATTGACTTTGCTTATAGGAAGCCGGCAGGAAGGTTGCAACTGGCAATCTTGTGACCCTGGGACATTGCAACCATTGTAAGTGCAAGCCAGTTCCCAAGTGCCCAGATCTCAATCACATGACTGCAGGGGTGCTGGGGCAACCAGAACTTCGAGGACCGGCTGTAAGCACCACTTGTTCAGCACCATTGTAACTTCAAAAAGTCGCTGAACGAGTGGTCATTAAACAAGGACTACCTGTAATGTGAATACATTTGTTTTTACTTTTGTTCTGTCATTTGGCCATAATATAATCTGTCCTTAAAGAGCAGTCTAGATTTTTTTGGCAATTTAAAAGGATCAAGTTAATTGTGCATACAATATCAGAAATAAAGCCCATTGATGTGGGACTTCCTATTAAGTTTGTATATGATTGCAGCTGCTTATATAGTCAAATATAACATACAGGCATTTTTATAACAGTTGGACATTCAAGTCAAACATACTATTATTCAAAATTATATTTCTGTAATAAAATGATACCTAAAATACAAGTCGAGATTTTAAAAGAATAAATTTACATTCAGTTTCACATTGTCAATATATCATACTGGCTGATCAACAATGGGTCCAGTTAGACACCATTTAAAAGTAAAGCCTGTTAGTTTAATATTTACAAGTAACCTAGATGTACAAAATTGGTTGAGAATAAGGGAGGAAGACAGGACTTTCAAATAAAGAACATAGCTTATACTATGGAAGGTACAATGTCAAAAACATTTATCAAATATTTCTGAAATTAAGATTGTAACATACTGAGAAAAATGGAATATGAGTTATCAAAAACAAGGAAAGCAAAAACTCAAGATATCCACTGTTGATCTTGATAACACAGGTGGTAAAATTCCTTGACGTAGTGAAACTATAAAAGATCCCATATACTGAACTCATATTTCAAGGTAAACATGGCACAGGTATTATTATGAAAGAAGTATATAAAAGTATCCAAAGGATCTCTCTTACTATCTGTTGTCCAACACAAACGTATCCCAGCTTAATGAAAATTAGCATTCTTATGCAGACCGATTCATTTCCTTCTTGTTATAACTTCTGACTGTCATAATCACTGACCATTCTTTTGATGTGGGACAGTTTACTCCTTAGCATCTTGCAATGTGCTTTTCGGTTCTTATAATCTGCTGACTAAGGACAACATGCAAAACAGTATAAATATCAAACATATAAAATTTAATGTGCAGAACACAATAATAGACTAATAAAACTAATAATCCTGTTTTATTCCATAAAAATGGTCACAGCGGATGGCAATAGCTGACTTGAAGGAAACTATATTTTTTTCATGACAGTAAGGCATTTTAATAAAATTAAATTGGCCTATATTTCAAAATTAATTAAGAAATTATACTTCCTACAGCCATAATAGCACAAAAAGTACTTAAAAGACAATATGCACAACAAACTAAGGCTGTTTAATTTGTCTTTACACTTGGCTTAGATGCTTCAGAATGCAGAGAAACCTGAAAGCAGCACATGCTGTGAATTATTGAAGCAACTGGGTCTATTTCTAGAACTGGGTAATCCCGCTTCAGTTGTTTTAAAAAATTACAGATAAGTGTTATGTTTGTGCTCTTGAGCATTCTGAAACATCTCTTCCAGGTAGAATCCAAAGCATGGTGCAGCCTTAAACAGAAAAGAATAGCTCTACCTATGCTCTGTTCTAACAACAAAACTTGTGAGATAATTTGCATCATCCGAGAAGCAGCATTACAATTTTTAGAGTCTTGCAATCTTATACATATATCCTGATAAGTAATTCCTGTTTGTGTTAATGGAATTGCAGTTTGAAAATCAAATTAAGCAGATATATTAAATAAAACAGAGTTCAATCTTTTATTAATGGGATAACACTCCCTTACAATGGAGCATATGCTTTCTGGGATGTTATAGATCAACAGTGGGATGAAGCCAGCTCAGGTTCTACTACTTTTAGAACAACAAACTGACTCCTTTAAATTATATTGCTGAAATAAGGAAGACTTGAGGTAACCAGGACTGAATTTGTGTTTGGAATAATTGTAAGTACCATCCAGTTCTGATAATTCCTCACCCTTTAATTCTAATTTATGTCCCTGACATCTGGCTCTGATGGAGCTTACAAGCCTGAAATCTGCTCACTCCTATTACAGATCTGTATGGACTGATTTGTGTTTTCTTGGCCAGGCCAGGCATTAAGAACTCTCATCACTTATTAGAGACAGAGGCAAGCAAAAGAAAAAAGAAAAAGAAATATTTGTTTGTTGTGGTTCTGATATCAGAAATTGAGAAGACCAGGCTAGACTGATACCTTCAAGGAAGACTACACTATTAATCACTGAACAAGAGAGCTATTTTTACATTTAGCATTATGCAAAGTTGAGCCCTTTTTAATTTTATAAGTTAATCCACATAAGTGATCCTATATTTCTACACATTAGTATTAGTTCAATAACTTGTATTCAGTGAATCTCTGAATTTGTTTTATTTCCTGTCTTCTGTTCCTGTTGATACAAGGTCAATCACAATAGCTTTAACTGTGGCAGCTTTTTCTATACATTTGAACCATCTCCCCTAGGCATGTCATCGCTGAACCATAAAAGGCTTTGATGGTCTTTAAAACCACCATCTCCTCAAAGATGCAGATAAGGAATGCCCTTCCAGCTTTCCCTGTCTGAGGTGGGTTGGGGGCCAACTGTTAAAATAACAGCCAATAGCAATTAGCATGACATTTGCGTTATTGTTAAACAAAGTGCCCTAGGAATACAGAAAGTTGTTGTCCCAAAAAGAGGACACCCAGGATTCCTTAGGCAACCCATCTGCATTTCCTATCAATTGTAAACTCTATGAGAAGATCAAAATGTGCTTGTGCCCTTTCATTTCTCTCTGAACCCTATATAAGATTTACTCTGATCAGTCTCTGTACTCTTAGTTCTTGAATTACAGTGATCACTGTAAACTTGACTAGTCTAATAAAGAAGACCTCTCCCATCATTTTGACTTATGTTTTAGGTAAATTTTTGCCACCACAGTTTGGTGTCACAAAGCCTTGGTACTTGGAGAATTGGCTCTGAGGAAGGCACCTCTGCTGTCTTTGGCAGGTCCAAAGACTCTTTCCCCAAGATTATCCTATCTATCTGGGATGTTTAGGAAATAGGAAGCTGCTACTATAATTTTAAAAAAAAGTTACAGATAAGGAACTCATGCAGAAGCCTAGAGAAGAAGAATAAGGAAGGAAGAAAATAAACAATTTGAAATGTAAATGGGGCACTCTGAAAGGATCCAACAATGAACATTTAAAGTTATTTCTTAAACTGAGTTTTGCCACCACAGTTCTTAAAACCACTTACTGATTTGATATCCTTCAATCTGTTGTATTCATCAGCTGCAGCCTAGGACAAAAAAAACCCCAGTGTCAAATTAGACAACCATGTAGTTGAAATTCAGTGCGTTAAAAGGTAAATTACTGTGGAGTCCTTGGGGTTCTCTGAGCTTGGAACCAAGCTCAGAGAACCCCAAAGACTCCATAGTTCAACCCTGAGCTACACACATTCGCCTCTATAGGTAAATTACTGCTAAATCTGTACATACTTTGAAATTATTTTTGAAATATGTACAGATACTTCAAAACATGCAGAACATAAACACCTCTTTAAAGCAGTCATGTCTTTTTTCAGGCTTTCTTGCAACCCTGAAAGAAGTCACTGCTATTTAAGATTGAAGATACAGCCACTTTAATGAGCTGAATCATAAAAGCAGCTGCATCTTGCTTTGGGTTTTCAAGAAAGCTTAAAGATGAACCAGCTATAGTGATACTGCCCTCATATTCCCATATATTCTGAAACACTTTTTCCTAGTAATTTCTGAAGTATACACAGTCCTATTGATTAAATAAACATTTTTAATAGAAAAAGAGTACCCTTCTCTATACTGATTCCTCAGGATTATGGACAATATGCTCTTCAAAAGGATGAAGTACAAGACTTAGCTCAGTGGCAGAGATCAAGCTTTATATTCACAAAGTTCTAAATTCAATCACTATTAATTCCAAATATGCCTTGAGTTAAAATGCTGAAGAGCTGTTAGGACATGCTAAGAATGAGCAATCTGAAACCCCATTTACAACCCCCTCCATTAAAAAAAAAAAAGATTACAGAAGCCTTTCCAATAACCATTCTAAGTATCAGCAACATGGTGTCTTCTTCCCTTTCCCTATTCTGAAGTGGTAAACATGGTCATGATAATGTAAGATCTGAAACAGAGTTAATATAGTTCTTTTAAAAAGGCCTCAAGCAATCTTCCAGAAAGGGAGGGAGGGAGGGAGGGAGGGAATGATTGCCCTACCCACTTGCGTAACCCTACTCTATACCATCACTCCATCCACTGCAGCCCTCTTCCATGCTGATGTGTAACTCCTGGCTATCCAAATCTTGCATATCGCTGATATAAGCCACATTGAACAAGACAGAGCAATGCTCTGACTCACTCAAAGGCAGCCTTTGTTCCAATTACCTACAAGCTGCTGGCAATGAGAACATCAGCACTGGGTTGGATGGGCCAGTGGTCAAAAAATATAAAAAGACTTACTACAGAAATGTAGGAAGTTATAGAGACCACCAGAAAAGGCTGATTAGCAGAGAGAATGAAGAAAAATTGCACTGACAGAAAGTTATTTGACTTCTAAAAGGAGCACAAAGCATCTCCCTTTATAGCCATTGCTGAACAGTCTGGAAGGATGTCTGAACCAGGAGAGTAGTGAAAAGAGACCTCTTCACTACTTTCCGAGTGTGAGGTTGATCCTTAAGAAGGTGAGATTTTAATGCAGCAGGAAGGAAGAGGAAAAAGCAAACAATGACTGTAGAGACACGAACCTTCCTCATGTGAAAGTTGACCTATTGAATACTTCTTACTTTGTTAATTCCCATAACACATGGATAACTTTGTTGTCTGAGCGAGTTTAAAAAGTTCCCTTAAAATGCTATTTCCTCTAAATCAGGGATATAGAATTTGTAGCTCTTCAAATGTTGTTGGACTCCAACTTGGACCAGCTCCATTCAGCTAGGGGCCAGAGAGATTGCTGGGGGGTCAGACTACCCATTCCCCTGCTCAAAAACTAAAGGACTTTTAATCACAGGCAGTCTTATTTTTAGATAAACTCCATTATTCCATGAAGTTCATCAGCAGAAAACTGCTTGTAGCCATTTAACTAAGGGAAAAGTATGATCAGACTAACTTCTGGGAATCATTACATTGATTATAAACCTGCTAATGTGCTTTTCCCCAGGTCCTGTTTTTAAATGGAATTTTGCCATCTTAATTCTTCAGTATCCTATAAACATCTGAGAACAAAATAGCATAATGGTCTTCATCTCTATTATTGATTTTGCAAATGTTCTAAAACATGAAGCAATATATATATTTCAAAAAACAAAATAGGAAGCTGTGAAGCAATCCTAGCCATATTAAATAAGCCTGACAGTGATTCACTCAGTGAGACAGAGCTGTAAAAGATCTGGGTAACTATTATAAATTACTTCAGCCTATTTTCTGAAGATGACCTGAATAAAAAGCAGTTGCAACATCCTTAACTCTAGAACCAACCGTGAGGCGAACTTTTAGGATAACTTTAGGACCAACATTAACTACAAACACAATAATCCCTTCCCTTATTTAGCTTAAAGTGGCAATTACATGAATTATCTGTTTAGAATAGTTAAGTAAAGCTACTACCTTGTATTCTTCACTGCCTTCAATATAGTCATCCAGTTCTTTGTCAAGACGGGAGAGTTCTCTGCTGATCTCATCAAGTTCTGCTTGCAATTGTTTGTATTCTTGTAATCCTGTATCAAAGTCTCGCTTGTATGCTTGTCTTTTTTGGTCCGATGATACAGGTGGATACTCTCTAGATGACAAGCAATTTAAAATGGATCTTGTGAAAAATGGTTTGAGTTCATAATTATGGTCAGATTACACTAAAAACAAAATGGATTTGCATAAAGAAAGGATATCTAACACAGGAGCTAAATTCACCTTTCACTTTTGCTCTCTAATCTATATATAAACACTTAAGACTTAGTTGAATACCTTTTTCTGTTAGAACTCACATATGTACAAATGTAGAGTTTTATAATAAAAATCAGCAATTCCATATCTTTTAATAGCACCGCATTATAGTAGGGGTGTGCAGCTTCTGTTAGTTTGAGAGCCACACTGCAATTAGGCAAAATTTGGGAGATAGCACTGGGATTTTAAAAGAAGAAATTAGTGTCTTGTTTGTCCCTAAACACTTCAGATTTGCCCCAAATACCTCAATCCTTGAAATGCTGTACTTGACAGGCTGCATTTTCTGTACCCTTATTTCAGTTGTACTAATATTAAATTGTACACAATGATTAATATATTGACTGAACAACAAAATGTAATGACTAATTTGATTTTCTACAGGCAATTCTCAACTTGGTGTAGGTATCTGTGGATAAAAATGATTTCTACAAAACAAAGCAATACTTTACACTCAGATTGCACTCTCTTAACCCAACCCAAGGAACATTTTTTAAAATATTGACATGTTGACTAATTCACTCTGATGAAATGGCTAACACAAGGGTTTCCTTAAGCAACTTTCTATTTTCATAGTTACATTCTGACATCCTTATGTGGGTGGTGCTGTTTTAAAATGTATGAATAAAAATGAACTAGATAAATAGCTTAGTAAATTATTTACCAATGAACATACTATTGCAGGTTTCAATACAAGTGGTACTGAACAACTTGTAAAAATATGGACAGATATATTTCCAAAACGTAGAGCAGTTATGGCTTTCTTTTAGAAAGACTGATGTTTCTGATATGAAGCTTATTATATTTTGGCTTACACAATTAGTTTCATTTCTTTTTTTATCATATTTATATACTGCACACTCCCAGCAGACCCAGCCCACAGTGGTTTCTAATAAAGACCAATCATTAACGAACAACTCCAGACATTATATGTCAAATATCATTTAAAAAATTATATAGTCAAAAAGAAAAAAAACACATAATTATAATAAGAAAGAACAACAGGAAAACATGGTGTAAACATTGCAGGCCAGTTACAGGAAGTCCTCAACTTAGGACCACAATAGGGACTGGAAAATTCATTGTTAAGTGGTGGAGTTGTTAAGCGAGTCATCACACGGCCATGACTCGTGACCTTCCCTGTCATCTTCCCTATTGACTTTGCTTCTCAAAAGCCAGCTGGAAAGGTCACAAATGGCAATCACGTGACCGCAGGATGCTGCAAACTTCGTAAGTGCATGACAGTTGCCAAGCACCCAAATCACAATCACGTGATCGTGGGGAATGCTGCTACAGTCGTAAGTGTGAGAACTGGTCATAAATCACTTTTCAGCACCATCGTAACTTCAAACAGTCACTAAATGAATGGTAGTAAGTTGAGGGCTACCTGTAGCAGATTTTAAAAATGCAGACTCTGTGGAGGACAAGCCATAGTATAAAAATTCAGATTTTAAAAAATGCTAAAGAAGAGGCAGACTGAAATGTCAGGGGAGGGAATTCCATCCTGCTAGAATCCCCATCAAAATCCTCACCATAATCCTATAATCAAATGCTGAAACATACAACTAGCATCTCAAAATAAAGTTGATGTTTTTGCAGTTTCAGAGACAGTACTTCAATGCATAATATTTGGCTGTATCTCTCCTCACCATTCTACACTTATGCATAAATCTTTATATGTTGATATCATACTACACTACTAATATAGGGACTACGCCTACTGATTTTTCACTTCTACTGAATTCCATAACCTTACAATATTGCACACATACTTTCATAAAAGACTTCATCTCAATCACAGGTAAGAATGTTTTTTTTTCTTGGTAACAAGAAAGGTATTTCATCCATTTCCTTGTCAAAATACTAGCTGATGATTCCTAATTACTACTGTGAGACTGAACCCCAAATCTTATTCCCTCCTCTTTCTGTAACACACAGATATCTCCCAGAGTTGCCAGGAGTTGGGCGGCATATACATTTAAATCATTATCATCATCATTATCTGTCACACACTCTTAGACATTGCTAGAACTAGGAACCTCCACTCCCATAAAGACCTCATTGGCTATTAGTGCTATAACAACAGCCAAATAGGTGGAGTTGCAATACCTGTCCCAGTTCTCCTCCAGTTCATCACAAGACTCGCCACCAGTGATGTAATCGCCATTATAATTATCACTGTTAGCTCTCCTGGTTCTTCCTCTTTTCCTTTTCTGTGGGGGTTCCTTAGCTGACCCATTGTAACTGCTGGTGTTCACATACTGGGATTGCTTTAGGTCTTTTGTTAATGGAGCAACAACTTCAGGTACCCTGTTAAAAAATAAATATAATTAGTTCTCAGGTTCATACCAAAACACCAACAAGGCAACTGATAGGATTTTG